GGACACGTGAGACTAGGGAAGAAGGGATGTTTTTGGGTCGGCTAGAACTGCAGCAGAACTAACACAAAGCCTTACAGGAAAAAATAGAGAAATTTCATTTTTAGAGGAAACTGAGGTGTGCCAGAGACTAGCTAGAAGTTAACAGTAGCAAAAGGCTAGTTAAAAGCAGTAAAATGTAAGCAGTAAAAAGGTCAGCTAAAATGTAAAACAGTAGCTAAAAGGCTAGCTATAGGTAGCAAAAAGCTAATCATATCAAAATTTTGCTAAAAGCTAAAAGTAGCACAACGGTAGTTGGAACTGAAAGTTGTAGAAAATGACACAACAATATCCAGTTTAATCAGTATTGTATGTTTAAATTCAGTTCAATTGAAAAATGCTTTATTAATCCAACAGAGAAATTATATAATGTGGTAACATCCTGGTTTCATTAAAGAGTTGTTCTAGATGCTGATGGCTCTGGGCAGGAAGGATCTCTTGTAGCGGTCTGTCTTACAGCAGATCTGAAGAAGCCTCTGACTGAAGACACTTTGTTGGTGTATGACAGTCTGATGAAGAGGATGCTGAGGGTTGTCTATAATGTTCTTCATTTTATGAAGAATCCTTCTTTGTACAATCATCTCCAAAGGTTCTAGAGGAGTCCCCAGAACTGAGCCAGCCTTCTTTATGAGCTTGTTGATCTTTTTTAAGGCACTTGCTCTGGTGCTGCTGCCCCAGCAGATGATGGCAGAAGAGATAGCACTCTCTACAACAGACTTATAGAAGATATGTATACAGCATCTTGCTGCAAACATTGAAGGACTTCAGCTTCTTCAATAAGTACCGTCTGCTCTGTCCCTTCTTGTAAACGGATTCACTGTTTCATCTCCAGTCCAGTCTGTTGTCCAGGTGAACTCCAAGGTATTTATACTTCTCCACCACTTCCACTTCTCCCATGATGGAAATAGGGTTGGACCTGTTCCTGTTTCTCCTGAAATCTACAATAATCTCCTTTGTTTTGTTCACATTTAAGATGAGATGATTGTGTCCACACCATGCCACAAAATGATCCACCAGTTCCTTGTACTCAGCTTCTTGTCCATCTCTGATACACCCGACCACTGCAGAGTCATAAGAATATTTCTGCAGATGATAGGAGTCTGTTTTGTACTGGAAATCTGAGGTGTACAAAGTGAAAAAGAATGGTGAGAGTACAGTCTCCTGTGGTGCTCCGGAGCTACTGACCACCTCATTAGACACACACAACCCTTCAGTCTCACAAACTATGGTCTGTTTGTCAGGTAGTCTTTGATCCAGGTGATGGTTGAAGCCTCCACCTGAGTCTTCGGGAGTTTCTGACAAAGGAAATCAGGCTGGATTGTGTTAAATGCACTGGAGAAATCAAAGAACATGACTCTCACAGCGCTGTCTGATTTTTCTAGATGACAGTGAGTTTGCTGAAGCTGGTGTATGACAGCATCTTCAACTCCAAGTCCACATCCACAAATAAACAAAAAACAAACAAACAATTAAATCAAACCAAGTATGGCTAGAAACTCTGTATATCCAGAATCCTACCCTGTAAAAAATGTGTGCCTTCCACATTTTAACTATAGAAGATGAGACATATCTGAGAGTCTTCCAGAGGAAATGTACACACATAAATGTACGTACGTACACACAGTCACAAACAAACCACATGCTAGGGTCAAGCTGAAGGTTTTTGCTTGTCTCTATATGTTCCACTCTTGTATTTCACCTGTCAATGTGACAACATGATGGATTTTTCCCTGCTGCTAAAGGTCAAAGTGTCACAGTTCAGCCTCGCCCTGGTTTTCCATCAACCATTCTCATTGGGTGATTGTTACAGCTTTTATTAGTTGAATGTTTTTCCTTCAAACATCAGGATTTCACCCCGTCACCCACACTTCAGTCTTACAGCTGCTCAAACCACATATGGCAACGAAAATATTATTTATACTCTATGTCATACACTAAAGTGAGCAGTTCACCAATAAAAAAGACACCATCTTGAATCTACAAGACAGCAGCTGTGTTTAAAGCAATAGTTTGGATCATTTGAATTAAGGCTTTATGGAAAAGTTATGAAGAATGAATAGCTTGTTTTAGATCATTCTGAATGAACCCCATCCAGCACATGACATTATCAAACAGTCTGAAACAGATAATTGAAAAGCAGGATTTTAATCATGAATCTTCAGGAAAATTATACCAAAATCTGTACTGCTGTTTTAGCAGTTTACAGCAAAATAATTATACAATATTGTGCTTTTATGGCCAAAATAAACTTCTCTTTTGTGATTTTTAAGGATAAAAGTTGAGTTAGCAGAGACAAAAATTAGGGTTTCAGAAAAAGCAACAAATAATTGATTCTAAATGTTGAACTTGTAACCAAGAGTTGAATATAACAACTCAAAACTCTAATCTCAAATCTTTACCGATAGTTTGGACAAACACTGATTTCTAAATCTTTGCACACATCATTTCACTTCAAGCGGTTATTCATCTTTGATGTTTTGCAATTACTAAAAACTGCAGCAGCTTTTGATGTGGGTTTCACTTAGACTTAGACTAGCTGTTAACTTGTTTGTTTTGATTTGAGTTCGACAAGCAAGTATCTTTCAGCTGCTCCTCCTTCAGGGGTTGCCACAGTGAGCAAACTCGCTCAAAAGGAAAGATTTGGCAATTTCTTTTACGCCAGATGCCCTTACTGATGCAGCCTGGACTCGAACCTGCAACCTCAGGATTACAAAACCACGGCACTGACCACCAATGAAGTCATTAAATGAGTTATCTACAACAGGTAAGATATTGTTTAAATACAAAGAATACAATTATATTTCAAAGGATCTGAATAATCCCTTTAAATAGACTTGTGGATTACAGTGTGTAGATACTTTGCTACATGATTACCTACAACTTTAGAATTAGATATTATTCAATTACGTCTTTGTGCAAACACTTCATGCAAATCTGTAAGACAAATAGAAGATTTAGGATAGCAAGCTTGCCTGGCATCCATGTATAATTTTAATACTTAGACAACAAAGAAATATCACATAAAACATATGTTAATTTTTTTTTATTTTTTTTTCCTAGAACTGATCTGAGACACCAGATATTTAACAAGAAAAATAAGTTTGTGTTAAATTTAAATGCAACCAATATATTGGTCGAGTTCTCTCCTAAAGAGCACATGTTTGATTCACTCCTGATCAATAGCAGATGTGCAAAAATCACAGCTGTGGAGAACAAGAAGCATCATAAATATAAACAAATGGGGAACTGACCTCGAATGCAATACTTTGAACATCATGCCAATTAACTAACATGCAAAACCACAATATCAGTAAATGCACACGCTGACTTTAAATAAGCTTTTCCTTAGGCACTAAACACTGCTGAGTCCACTAGACATGGGCCGGCTGCAGGAAGTTGCAGAGTTGCCACACAAACTGGTGACTCATGGGTGAAGTGTCAGAAAGCCATTATGTCTATGTGATGAAAAGAAGAAGAGAGTGTTGTGTTTCAGGAATTGGTTCTGCAAATAAATAAGCTGTGGTAGCTCTGTGGTCAGTTCTGTGGTCCCATACTGAAAATGTAATGTCGAGCCCAGGTTGTGTCAGGAAGGGCATCCGATGTGAAACAATCACCAAATCTTTCATGCAAGTTCACTTGCTGTAGAGACCCATGCAGAAGAAGAAAGTGCTTTGTGTTGTCATCATCGTATGTTTCTATACAATGATGGCTTTTGTGCTTTGCATTTAACCATCACACATGAGATACACCCAGGTGGAGCAGCGGGCAGCTATGTAAGCACCAGTTGGGGATTGGGTATCTTGCTCAAGGACACCACGACATGTGAGCATGGCGAGGAGTTGAACATGTGACTTTCTGGTCCCATGTCGGCTGCCCTACCACTTCACCACAGTTGCTCCATATAAAAGATAAACAAGAAAATACAAATATAAACAAATAAAGTCTTAAAAATGCTGTTGATCTTACCCAAAAATCAGCAAAATTTCACAACAGCACAGGACTTAAGGAAGTATATAATGTTTAACAAAGTGATTTTGGTTTCTGAAACAATGGTGGCACAAATGTAACATTTTACAGTTATGATGGAAATATAATAAGTAACCAATCAATAAAGCAATCAATCAAACAGCATTTGTTGCATTTTAGTGAATGAAAGACAATTTGACCTTACCATGTGAAAAGACTTTAACAAATATTGTTCTCTGCAGGCAACTGTGCAAGTAAAAGTTTATTGCAAATTGACAGTGAATACATAAATTTGAAGGGGAAAAAAAATCTCAGATAAAAAACAAATCCTGTATTTTTTAGAACACAGCTGTAAATATATAAAAATAAAGTAATAGTACCATCATAATATTAATAATATTATAAACGGTTGCATCAGGCTAAACATAATACAAAATGGAAGTTGTGCAATTGTTTTCAAATGTAGGGAAAAAAGTGAAATATGAGGAAGTGCATGCCTGTATGATTAAAGTTCAAATATATAACATAAACCAAGTGCTTGTTGATAGATAACTTTAGATTAGAAAACTAAGAGATCATCGTTTTGTCCATCTGCTTTAAGTGCCACCCAGAATTGTTCTCTTTGCCCTGTTTTGTGACAGGAAAGAAAATGAAGAAATGAGAGTCTTCCTGTGACAACCCACAGACACGATTCTGTTCAAAACAGTAAACATCACATAACATTCGGACCGAAAACTGAGACGACGGACTGATAAATCGTTTTTACGCGCATCATAAACTATCAGGTCAGTTCCAGAACCTTAAACTGGTTTTACACCAATCATTTATAGACCAGCTGGAATAAGATTAGTTGCTTTTGAAAGTGAACCAGAAAACCAAATATGACTTATCTTTTTCTAAGAAAGAGACTCATTTATTTATTGAATTATTTAGTATTTTTTCTCGTGTGTGATTTTAACAATAGTTGTTCTCTTTTTGTTTTGGAATTAGACTCAGTCATGGAGAGAAACACGTCTTTCTCAGAATTTCCCAGTAATCACAGCTCCACCAACAGCTCCTGCTCCCGTGACAACGTTTTCAAGACGGTGGTTCTACCCGTCCTTTATTCCTGCCTTTTCTTTGTGGGAATCGCTCTGAATTGTTTGGCAGCATGGGTGTTGTTTCACATCCCCTCCCGGTCTCACTTCATTATTTACCTGAAGAATATTGTTGTTGCAGATATCATCATGACGTTGACTTTCCCTTTTAAGGTTGGCTATGTTTACACGCAGTAATGTGTTGTGGATTTAGTAAAAAAAAAAAAAAAATCTATTACTGAGTACCAATTTAAAGATTTAAAAGTGAAGTTCTGAAGAAAGGTTATGAACAATTGGTATCTTACCCGTTATAGACAGCAATTCGAAAGATGTAAGTTTGGAGAAATGAAGTGTAATGTGATTGACAAGCTAACGGCTAGTTCCAGCACATGGGAGGTCAAAGTGGATTGCTGCCATCTTAAAACAATTTCTGCCTCAAAACTTTTTATAATGGTTTATGCAAATACTATTATATAAACCCTTACATCGCCACCACTTTTACATTACACAGTTGTTAGAGAATCTTGTGGCAATTTGCAAGCATAAAATGTCTTTTCCCATGGACTTGACTCGGACTTGGACTTGACATGTTCAAATTCTTTCCACTGGGTGATCCCACCTGCTTTCAGCTTGGTTCTTAGGACCGACTGATGCAGTTCAAAGCAAGCTGAGTCGAGCTGAAGATCTGATGGACTGTACTTACAGTATATAGCACCTTTCTATCTTATCAAGATAGTCAAAGTGCTTTACACTACAATCTATGCCCTCATTTACCCATTCATAAAGCACTCTACTTTATTTATACAAAGAATAATCAGTGCTTTATTACATTCATACACCAATGGGACAGACATCAGAGGCAATGAGGTGTCCAGTGTCTTGCCCATGGACACTTCAGCACGTGACTGCTGGTGGAATCAAACCCCCAACTCTTCTATTAGAGGACTACTGCTCTAACCACTCAGCCACAGCTGCCCCAAATACAAACGTTGGATCGAGGGCTGTCTTTCAATAGATCGCAGTGAGGTAGCTGCTCTGCTACTTATGAAACCCCAACCAAGAATCAGGTCGTCTGCGAGTCATTTAGCATTGCACCCCCGTCAAACAAGCAGTGCGCGTCTGGCTGCAGTTCGGTCTCACCTCGTCCCGGTCATGGATGGCTCTCTTTACCGGCCTAAGCAGGCCATTAGAGACCAACTGAACGCCCATGGCACTTCAGTATCGTCGCGACTAAGCAGGATTCTGACTTAGAGGCATTCAATCTTAATCCCGTAGATGATAGCTTGCCCCACTGGCTATTCAGCCAAGCACATACACCAAATGTCTGAACATGTGGTTCCTCTCGTACTGTGCAGGATTACTGTTGCGACAACACATCATTAGTAGGTTAAAACTAACATGTCTCACAACGGTCTAAAGCCAGATCACGTTCCCTATTAGTGTGTGAACAATCCAATACTTGGTGAATTCTGCTACACAATGATAGAAAGAGCTGACATCAAAGGATCAAAAAGAGACGTTGCTATGAACGCTTGGCCACCACAAGCCAGTTATATCCCTGTGGTAACTTTTCTGATACCTCCTGCTTAAAGCCCCAAGGTTCAGAAGGATCATGAGACCCCGCTTTCATGGTCTGTATTTATACTGAAAATCAAGATCAAGCAACCTTTTGCCTTTCTGTTCTACGGGAGGTTTCTGTTCTCCCTGAGCTCGCCTTAGGACACCTGCGTTACCATTTGGCAGGTGTATTCAATTCAATTCAGTTTACTTATATAGCGCCAAATCACAACAAAGTTCTCTCATGGCACTTTACAGGAACATTCAAATACATAAAAGCCAATTAGTAAAGTTCTCTATCTAAGGAGGCCAGCAGACAAGTTGAATCTTGGCTTTGTTGCAGTCTCCCATCCTGAGCAAGCACAGTGGCAACAGTGGAAAAGAAAAACTCCCTTTTAAAAGGAAGAAACCTCCAGCAGAACCAGGCTCAGGACAAGTGGCCATCTGCTTTGACCCGCTGGTTTGAGAGGACAGAAAGGAGAGACAGACAAACACAGAATGGTAGATCCAGATATAGGTCCAGGTGTACCTGAAAGATAAAAACACATGTTAAGGATAGAAAAAAATTATTACAAATACAAAACAGGTTGAGCAGAGTAAGTAAAGACAGTAGCAGAGAGAAAAGCGTGGTCAGTTTGTCCTCCAGCAGTCTAAGCCTATAGCAGCATAAGTAAGGGACAGCTCAGGAAACCCAAGCCGACCTTAAATGTAGGATTTAGCAAAAAGGAAAGTCTTCAGCCTAATTTTAAAACTGGATAATGTGTCAGCCTCATGGACAGAGATTGGAAGTTGGTTCTACAAGAGAGGAGCCTGATAACTGAAAGATCTGCCTCCCATTCTGGTTTTGTAAATTCTAGGAACCACAAGTAAACCTGCAGCCTGAGAGCGAAGTGCTCTGTTAGGAAAATATGGAACAATAAGGTCTGTAATATAAGATGGAGCCAGGTTGTTGAGAGCTTTGTAGGTTAGAAGTAAGATTTTGAATTCTATTCTGGATTTGACAGGGAGCCAATGGAGAGAAGCTAAAACTGGAGAAATATGATCTCTCCTTCTAACTCCAGTTAAGACGCTGGCAGCAGCATTTTGGATCAACTGAAGACGATTTAAGGAAGTATTTGGACACCCAGATAATAAACCATTGCAATAGTCCAGTCTAGATGTGACAAATGCATGAAACAGTTTTTAAGCATCATTTTTAGATGTTTCTAATTTTAGAGATATTACGCAGGTGGAAGAAGACAGTTCTAGTAACGTTTTTAATGTGGGGGATAAAAGACATGTCCTGATCAATACTAACACCAAGATTTTTAACATTAGAGCTGGAGGACAGATTAATGCCATCTAAGGAGGGAGAAAAACTGAAAAATTGTACAGTCAAACTCCCCACCTGCCACTGTCCCCAGAGCGGTTCACACCTGGCATGTGCCGGGTGCTTGACACCAGAAAAGAGAGATGCTCGGGGCTCAACTCCCCACCTCACAGAGTAAATGAAAAATCATTAATGATGTCATCAGTTTTCAGGCCATTTATTGGACATAAAGCAACTTCAGTCGTTAGTAAATTGAATGGTAAATGGACTGTACTTATACACGACCTTTCTATCTTAATCAAGATCCTCAAAGCATTTTACACTACAATCTGTACCCTCATGTACCCATTCATACAGCACTATATTATATCTTTACAAGGAATAATCAGGGCTTTAGATCACATTCATACACCAATGGGACACACATCAGAGGCAAGGAGGGATTCAAATGAATCAAACTCCCAACTCTTGCATTGGAGGACTGCTCTAACCGCTCAGCCACAGCCGCCATATATATTATCGACTCCTTCACAAGAATCAAACCCATATTTTTTTAAAACCTCAGAAGTGTAACTTTCATTTTTGTTATCTCAACTCGACCACAGCGTTTTTGGAAACCATGACAGAGGATAATGTTTTATGTGACTTTTTTGCACTTATTTGTCCATTTCTGTGTTGTTTTTGCTCCAGATATGTTAGGGGCAGCCTCGCTATGACTATCCAACCCAGATCGAAGCAGCACAACAATTATACAAAATCCATCCAGACCAAGTAGATCCGAAAAGAATCCGGGCAAGTTGTGATGAGAGTGGTCAATGGAAAAACGGCGATAGTAAATGGACTGTATAGTGTATAGCGCCTTTCTATCTTATCAAGATACTCAAAGTGCTTTACACTATAATCGGTGCCCTCATTTACCTATTCATACAGCACTCTACTATATCTATACAAAGATTAATCAGTGCTTTAGATCACATTCATACACCAATGGGACACATATCGGAGGCAATGAGGGGTTCAGTGGAAGACGACTGCTCTAACCACTCAACCACAGCTGCCCCATAGTGGCAGCAGTGTAGATCTATAGCACCTCTAGTGCGACGTGAGGCACCTCCAGCAGGAATATTCTAATACTTCTTCCATAATAACAGTTTAATAAGAAATTGAAAGCAGTGTGAGCATCTCTAAAGTAGCATTTGCAGGAAGCATTTTGTTTGTTTGTTTTTTTGTTTCCCCTATTAGAGCAGTTTGAACACAACAGCATTCCACTTTGGTGTGGCTCCTTTCAGGCTTATCTTGAAAATCTGGTTATAACTTACATTTTATTTGTAACTGTGATTGTCTAAAGAAATTCCATTTACGAGGAAGAGATTAATTGTTTCCAACTTTATTTAGAACCTCACTTCAAAAGATCTTAAATATCCTTGAATGTACAGTATATTCTATTAGACTTTTAAGTGATTCATCACTTTGCAATCATGTTTTTCTTGTTTGAAAATACATATATACTGCACATATGTCTATGAAAAAACATTTTTACAATGGCTCAACAAGTTGTAATTTATTTATTTATTTTGCAAATATTAAACAATCATGAATGAAAAATGTTTTTGTAATTTCACAAACTGACTTTTGCAAAGTGGAATCTTATCTAATTTGATGGTTAATTGAGTGTTTAAGAGTAAACCCTAAAATAATAAATGTTCTTTGTTCTGCAGGTGTTGTCAGACTCCAACATGGCAACCACTAACCTGCGGATATTTGTGTGTCGTGTCTCCTCGGTCCTGTTGTACCTCACCATGTACATCAGCATCCTTTTCTTTGGCCTCATCAGCATTGACCGCTGCATAAAGACACTTAAGCCTTTCAGAGGCACTAACTCTAACCGACTCACCCGAAGAAAACTTCTTTCAGGAGCCATTTGGACTTTTCTGCTGATCCTTAGCTTGCCCAACGTAATCCTCACTCGAAAATTCCCGACTTCTCCTTATTTTAAATGCAGCGACCTGAAGACAGAAGGGGGGCTGTATTGGCATGGGGTGGTAAATGATGTCTGTCAAGTGATTTTCTGGGGCAACCTGGTGACTGTCATGATATGCTACTCTCTGATCACCAAAGAACTGTACAAATCCTACTCCCGTACCAAGTCCCAATGCACTGAAGGGGCTGTATCTCTAGCACCAAGAGGGGGAACAACTCGGAGACCTCCGAAGACCGAAAGAAAAAAAATTAATGTAAACGTGTTCCTGATTCTAGCAGTGTTCTTTGTGTGCTTTGTGCCTTTTCACTTCGCCCGAGTTCCGTACACCATGAGCCAGACTCGACCGGTTCTTTTTGATTGCTCACACAAGCTTTTCTTCTTTCAGCTGAAGGAAAGCACACTTTTCCTCTCATCCCTGAATGCTGTACTGGACCCACTGATCTACTTTTTCCTCTGTCAGTCCTTCAGGACCACTCTATTCGAGACCCTGCGGCTGCCCCCTGGTATATGCCGCTGGGCAACAGGATCCAGAGACTCGTCTGTCTGTACATAAAAACAACACTGGCGTAAGAAAGGCTTCATGAGAAATATGGTGGGAAAACTGCTTGACATATGCACAGTCACAAAATCATAACAGATTTACTCTAAGTTACATTATAAGTTTTATATTTACAGTGTAAAATATTGTATACTTTATGACAATGCTAAAGGCTTCTCTTTTTGTTGATTTTCAGATGTGCATTTTGTTTTCTGTGACAATCACGCTGCAGAAGGATCTTGACTTTAGGCGTTGCAAAATGTATTGATGAAGCAACAGTAGAATAAGGGAAAAACATCTAATAATGACTTGCTGTTTTTATCCTCTTGGGCCAATTTAAATGTGCCTTAAAACTTACTTTTTTTGTTTTTCTACCACAATATGACACAGCTCACTTGAAGATACTGTTTAGATCTTTTGAAGAGTAGCTCTGTGGAAAGGTTGCAAACAAATACAATTGATATTGTAGAAAGCTCTTTAAATGGGCTCTATTTGGATTTATTAGCTAGGTTGTTGGTGAAACTACGCCAAGAATACAAGAAATGTGATATTCCTGCTAGCTGCTGATATTTGCACTTACAAATAATAATGGAATTTTGCTAGAATTAGCTGTAAGTTGTAATTAGGAGTAAAGTGTTCTCACATCTCTAGATTTTGAGTGTCCTCTTGGCTCTGAATTCAGCGTCTACAAAAGAAGAAGACTTCTTCATTTATACAAAACTAAAATTGAAATGTTATAATAATTACAGTTCAGCATTTTTTTTAACTACCGGTAATTTAAAGTCAGGGATTGATGCCTGTCAGTGTTTAAATTGAAGCTAATGCTTCAAAACTATTCAAAGTTTAAGTAACTATGTTTTATAAATCTACTGTATATGGTAAAAGATTTAGAAAATAGAAAATGTAAATTCATATAAAGTTGTTTTTGAAGTTTGCTAGATGCTAGCTGGCATTAAATGGTCAGTGATGGCTTAGTGGTTCACACTGTTGCCTCACAGCAAGAAGGTCCTGGGTTCAACCCCTGGTTTGAACCTAAGGATTTTTGTGAGGAGTTTGCATGTTCACCTCATGTTAACATGGGTTTTCTTCCACAGTCCAAAACATGCATGTTAGGCTGCCTTCAGGCCCAGAACTCCCTTTCAAAAGAGATAAATTATATTTAAAAGCCCCTTTCACAACACTCAAAGACATTGTACAGCTAAAAACAATAGATGCTAGGCCAAACAATAAAAACAATATACAGCAGCAAAAAAGTAGGGTAGGTAAGGGTGGTACAAAAGGTCAGATAAATATGGGGTGAGATTGTGGATGGCTTTCAAAGTGTGAAGAAGAATTCTGAAGATAATGTGAGCTTTAAGTGGGAACAGGATGGGAGTGATGTGACTTTAATGTAGCATGAAGCTGCACTCCCCTAATCATGACCCTTGACCCTTGGGTTCTCTTCCAGACTCACCCTGAATTGTGATCTTTAAAGTCACTTTTGACTTCAACAATGTCTGGTGTTTTCACACATTCATTGTCCTTCGACACAGAGTCAGCTACAGTCTGACTAATTTTTACCTTTTTCCTATGCTTTTAAGAAAGAATAAAAAAATAAAAAAATCATTGATGAAGTTTGTTTTATTTGATTAAAAACTGTGAACACGAATACTTTTGATTATTGTTTTCAATCACTGTGGTGAAATCATGTGAACTATTATAACGTGTTTAACATGTTTCTTTCTCCTGTTTTTCAGAAGATAGCGTTTCCTTGAAGAGACACCTGTTGAAAGCTCTTTGAGCTTGAGCTGTTTGCTTCAGAGGGAAGTCATAATGTTCCTGAGCAGTCAAAGCATCTTCTGAGAGCTGTTGTTTTTGCACAAAGCCTCTTTGTGTGACATGGCAGTTTGTCTTGGACTCCCAAATCTGATGTAGTCCAAAGTCCACTCCTGCAATTTCTGAGCAGATAAACATGTTGCTCAATTACAATTTGTTAAAAAAAAAAAGTTAAATATGGTAACTACTGAAGATGAAGCATTTTTCTCGCTGCAAGACCCATTGTTGGCTTGAAACCTAAGCCTGCTGAAGGTGCTAATGGATGGCACCTTCTCATCAGCTGTTGCCCTCCCAGACCCCTGAAACAGTTACAGTAACATTCAGCTACCTTGGGCAGTCCTGGCAAGTCCTCCTCGTGGTGTATCCTGGTCTGATCCACCAGCAGAACCCCAGAAAGACAAGTGATCTGGTGCCCTCTAACAGACCTGATAAGGAGCTGGTGACATCATGTAATTCTTGGTCTAGTTATGATTCTTAGCAGATGCAACTTGATAAATCATTTCCTGGCTTGCAGTGATTGTAAATGACATTATCTGACCACATTAAATAACTTATTTCAACCAAAATCCAAAGCAAACAATTTATTAATGTAGTTAAACTTTGTCTAAATTTGTGCGCGTATAAAAACCAAAATAATTCCTGCTCAAAGAGTTGATTTTACCTTAGATAAGAGAATTAAGCCTTTATCAGTTAATTACAGTTTGATTGTTTATTATTGTTGTTAATTCTTAATTTGATTATTTTTGTAATAAAATTTCAAAGACAACTTTGGTCCCTTCATTCAGATGGATATTCATTGCTTATGGTATAGAGCTCCCTGTAATTAACAGATTCTACTTCAGTGGCTGATTCTGATTATTATAGGGTGAATATATTAATTAAGTTGTCGGTCAGTAAACTGACCAGCTGGTGCCACGGTTTTACGAGTGGAAAAATAAATAAAACAAATGTAGTGGAGTGGAGGGCAGCACGGTGGCGCAACTGGTAGAGCTGCTGCCTCTCAGCGAGCAGGTCCTTGGTTCAAACCCCGGTCCAGGGGCCTTTCTGGGTGGAGTTTGCATGTTCTCTCCGTGCATGCGTGGGTTTTCTCCGGGTGCTCCGGTTTCCTCCCACAGACCAAAAACATGCATGTTAGGCTGATTGGTAACTCTAAATTTTCCCTAGGTGTGAGTGAGAGAGTGAATGGTTGTTTGTCTCTGTGTGTCCCTGTGATGGACTTGCGACCCGTCCAGGGTGTACCCCGCCCCTCGCACAGTGACTGCTGGACATGGGCACCAGCGACCCCCGTGACCCAAAATGGAATAAGCGGGTAAAGAAAATGGATGGATGGATGGATAGTGGAGTGGAGATGACACATGCAGCTGAGTCCTGAAGCATCTGTAGCCTGTGAAGGGGAGGTCAAAAAGAAGAGAGTTACAATCATCGATCCAGGACATCATAAGACTGTGGACAAGGATAGCCGTGGAATGAGGGGTGAGAGAAGGACAGAGACAGTTAATGTTACGAAGGTGGAAATAAGAAGATCGAGTGACATTATTGATGTGGATGAAGCAAAGTGAGCTTCTTGAGGATGACTCCCAGACTCTTGAAGTGAGGAGAGGGGGGAAGCAGTGAGATGTTAAGTGGGCGGAGAAGATGTTCAGATTTGAAAATGTTTTTAGTATCAACAAGGGTGAGTTCTGTTTTATTGCTGTTCAGTTGGAGAAAATTATTAGAAAACCAGCAATTAAGCTCAATGAGACATTCAGTGAGGAGTGGGAGTGTGAAATTAGGTCTGGTATACAAGTAAAGCTGGGTGTCATCTGCTTAACGGTGAAACTGGGTACCAAATTTATGAAAGATGTGACCTAAAGGAAGAAGGTGAAGAGGATGGTCCCAAGGACAGAACCTTGTGGGGGCATCAGTAGAGACAGGGGGAGACAGAATAGAAAGACTGAATTTGAGTTAACTGAGTGCAGCCACATATGATTTGAACCAGTCAAGTGGAGCACCAGTAATGCTGACTGAGGTTAGTCTGTTCAGGAGGATAGAGTGAGAGATGCTATCAAAGGCTGCACTCAGGTCGAAGAGGATGACAGTGCACAGAAGACCATAATTTGCATTTTTTATGAGAACAGTTTCAGTGCTGGAGCAAAAAAAAAACAATTGAAACTGTTCATATAAGCTATTATTTGATAAACGTGTGACGTTGACTGGCAACTAATTTTTCAAGGATTTTGGAAATGAAGGGTAGATTAGAGGACAAAGATTACTGAAGTTAGAGGGGTCGAGAACTGTTTTTTCTGGTTATGGGTGTGGTGGTAGCATATTCAAAAGCTGTGAGGACAATACCAGAGGATAGAGAGGAGTGGAAAATGTCAGTGATGATAAGGAGCTGAGAGGAGAGACAAGATTCAGCAAGTACTGTGGGTACAAGCAGGTGGAAAGCTTGGACTGGTGAACGATGTCCAAAATGTCAACTGAAGAGGGGTGGGGGCAGACCAAGAAGGGGAGAAATGCTGGGGGTGGAGTTTGAGCCAAGGTGTTTTCGGATGGAAATAAACCTTTTTTTTAATTGAAAAAAGACATCAGCTAATTATTGATTGCAGTGGAGAGCATGTGAGGAGGTAAACAGTTTGAAGATTTGACTGTACGTTTAAGAAGAGAGAACAGTCTGTGGATTGTCTATGTTGGGACAGATCATGTCAGAAAACTAGCTGGATTTGGCTTAAATTCAATTCAAATTCAATTCAAAAATACTTTATTAATCCCAAAGGGAAATTATTTGTTGTTGTAACTCGTTATCCTCATTTCATTAAGAGATGTTATAGATACTGATGGCTGTAGACAGGAAGGATCTCTTGTAAAGGTCCATCCCACAATGGATCCTAAGAAACTGGCTGCAGATGCCGTCCGATCCATCCACCCAGACTCGGCTGGCCTCTCGTTTCCCCCGGGCTGTAAAACCACCTGAATGCCGGGCAGAACTCCTCCCAGAGCGATGGCCACTCCTCCCAGCAGTCTGCTGAGCTCCTCGTTGCTGCGGACAGCCAACTGTAGGCGCCGAGGGACGATCCTGTCCTTCCACTGTCATGAACCGTGTTTCCTGCTAGTTCCAGGATCTCAGTGATCAGGCATTCGAGCACAGCTGGCAGGTAGATGAGAATGCGTCCACAGAACATCCTTTCAACTCGTTTGAGATTTGGGGCTGTAGTTGAGAT